ATATATATATATATACTTATATTTAGAAATTTTTAGTCTTTTCAATTATTTAAGTGTTAACATAGATATCACAGAATGGTTCTTGGTACCTTATATCTTCATTCACTATTATAATGTTACAAGAACTTAATACAGAGGAAGAGAGGCTCTTAAAAATGCTGCAGAAATGCAGGCTTCTTTGTGACCAAGAAGTGGAAGGAAGGATTTGAAAATATTTTGACGTTTGTCATAAATTATTTATAAAAGAGTACCCAGGCAACTCTGTGCAAAATTGGCACTCTTTAAATACAAATACAAATGTTTTATTAGTCAAGAGCAGCACAATCTCAGCCGCAATCACAATCACGGTCACTTTATAGCTCACCTAACTCTTTCTCACAAAGCTTGTGTACACAATATACAAATGAACAATATAGTTAATGTTGATTTATGAATTAATACAAGTACAAAATTCTTAGCACATCATAGACCATTGATACTTTCCACATACGTATGCACGTGTTATAACAACTGTTTGATATTTACTCAATATAGCGTACACTAGAATAACTGTGTTCCTTTTAAACAGCAGTCATCCTTTATAAAAGGAGTAAATCAAAAAACATAGGAGATTTAAAAGATAAATGTTGACTTGAAATCCTCAGATGTCTTCAATGCGTGCTGAGTGTGATTGTGTTGTTCCAATATTTCTATGTTAGCGTTTCTTTCTTCAGCATTTAATTATGGAATTTACAGTGAGCCTTGGTTTCAAAAGTGTCCTAAACTAACAATTACACAAGCTGAAATAAAAAATATTTTGTCATATTAATATAATTAAATATTAAAAAAATAATAATATATTTTAATAAGATTATGAGCTTTACTATAAAAAAAGATTTTAATAATGATATCATAAATAAATATTTCATTTTTTTATTATTTAAGATGTATTTATAATAATAATAGTTAATTATATGATTATATTTAAATAAAATATTTTGCTAAAATAAAAAAACAAATAATATTGTTTAAATGTAAATGTTAAAATGTTAAAATTTAAATGTAAATCAAAGTTTATATATTTTAAATAAGATATTATGCATTTTATATATCTATATATATTCATAGACATATATATACACATATCAAAATTTATAAATTGTAGTTATAATTTATATTTTATATTGAAAAAAAAAATTTATTTTATCATACTAATTTACTAATTTTGATAAATTTTTATTAATATAATTCTATTATATTATGGATATTATTATGGATGCATTGAAAATAAAAGTTCTATTTTGAATAAACTAAAAAAATAAGCTTTTAACAGAGATGAAAAAAATATCTCTTGTATATATAGGTTATTATATATTTTTCTTTTCATATTATAATAATATACAATTATATATAGAAATCTATAATATATTTATTATATCCTATTTATGGTTATACATAAGATAAATAAGATATTGACAATAATTGACTACTAATTTGACATTGACTTTTTATGCTCCAACTGGTACAGTTCTTTCAATGTTTTTTATTTATTTCTTGAGATTTTATTTATATTCAAAGTTTCACTTATTAATATTTTACAAATAATAAAAACATCTTTATCATCAATTTGTTGTTTAAATCATTATTTTCGAATTTTGCTGTAAATGGAATATAATAGTTGGATACCTACATGAAAATGTTTGAAATATATCTAACAATATAAGTATTATAAATTTCTCAAAAGTAAATAAACATATATTTTGCTTAACGAAACATCATAAAAGTAAGTTTGAATTTAAAATACTGATAACTTTTACAAGATATAGTCAAACAAAAATCCGAAATATTGTACATGCTCGCCAGTTACGAGATTCTAATTTTTTATGAGGTCACTCGTTTCTTTACATATCATAAAGATTTACTGAAATTTTCTATACTTATAAAATATGAATATAAGTGTCAAGAAAGAAATAATTATAATCATTATGAATGTTTCATTGTAAAGCTCGTAATCGAATAACTTTAAAAAGATTTATAAAACTCACCACGACACAGCACAGCACTGACGACATGCCGCCATGTTGAATGTCAACATTCAGTATTCACATACAAAACAGGAGCAACTACAGAGTGACTACAGTTAAAAATTTGGGTTCATAGCCATCTGGTAATATTGTCGCAAAAACAATTATTTGCATGTCCTATTATAAATATATAAAAATCATAAATTTATATTTGAAAGTTAATAAATTTGACAAAGAATAAATATTTATTTGATTATAGAAATAAAATACACATAAAAATAAAAGTGTGTTCTTAACATAACGTTTTTGAGTAATGTTCCGGAAAAATTTAAACCAATGATATTAAAGTGCGTTCAAAAAACTGTCAATTTTAATATTTTGTTAAAAGTACCAAAAGTAAAAAATTTTTAGTATTTAATTAAGATATAAATATAAGATATAAATACTCTTTTAATAACAAGTTTTATGATTGGTAAAATAAACTAATGCATTTTAAAATTTATAACATGTACAGATCTTTTATTTATACATTTATTTTTGAAATACTTATTCATACTACACACAAAGTAACTAATTATTTATAATTTACAAATAAAATTTATTTTAATAATAATATTAAAAATATTCTTGCACATATTATTAAATATTCAATTTTTGTGAAGTTTCTCCATTTGATGTCCTTGAATATGTACCAAAATGATTTAATTGATGCCAATGTAAATCTTCAGATTCTGGTGTTGATGGAGCTGTAGCACATTCTAAACTTAATTGAAGAGCTCTTCTTAAATCATCATCCTCATCTATGTCATCAGTCCCACATGTTTTTTTATTGTAATCATGAAAATCCAAACTTAATTTAAGATATTTATCTACATCATTTCTTTTATTCTCTTCAAAACTTAATTGAAGTGCCCTTTGTAATTCTGCATTTTCATCATCTTCTTCATCATTTTTTTCAATTTTTATGGGAATTATCTTTTCTTGTAGTTTATTTGTTGATACTTTTTCTTTACTAGATAATGCTCTGGTAAATGTATTTGATATTACATTATTACTTATACCTGTAAAACCAAACTTATTTAAAACCAGTCTTATTTTAAAAAAAAATATATGATTACAATAAAATCTTCAATGGAGAGAAAAAATATTATATTTAAAGTTTTACTTAATTCAGATAATAACCTTTTGTTTTTGTTTTTAATGACGTTTGTCCTTTTGACATAGGTTCTATTGGATTTTTCATAAGAATATCATCTGCAGGACATTGTGGAAGTGCACCAATAACAATAAAAATAGAATAACCTATAAAAATATATAATTTTGTATCTATAATTTTATTCTTTATTATATTTCACTAAATATTACCTTCTTGTAATAACTGAGCTAAATACATAGAAAGATAAGTATCCGATATAAGTTCTGGTCCACTTAATACTGAATTTAAATTAAACCATTGCTTTCCAATCTTTCTTATAGTAAACCAATGACCTTTGTAATTACAAATATATGCTTTCATCTGTCTAAAAATTATATATATTATAAAATATGACTATATTTTAATACATGATTTATACATAAAATAATTTTATTTTTTATCATATAATGTATTCATTTTTCAATTTTATTATTTAATATTAATGCAAGATAAGTATACTTTATGAATATTTCGAATTCAAATAAAAATTGTTTAAATGAAAAAAATTGAATAACATACAAAGGATCATTCTGTGCCATTATAGCTGCAGATTCTGTACTATTATATGGAATTAATTCTAATCCCCAAACTTTTAATGCACTACTAATTACTTGAACTGAGAAGTAGCCACTGTCATCCATGTTTCCTGATGGTTGCTAAGCAAAATAATTAATGCCCTTTACCACATATAACGATATTAGTATAATAATTAATATTTCAAATAAAATAAATAAATATATATAATAAAATATTTAAAATCTTTTTTTTATATTCTGCAATACACTATAAATAATATAAAAATAGTTACAATGCACAGATTCACCTCTAGAAAAAGTTTATAATCTTCACTGTCAACACCAGATTCTGCCATTCTTATCCTTTCTTCTTCATCCATTTGATGACCTAAACTAGCAAGATCTACAGCATTATAATATGGACCTTGTAAAAGTGCATTTAAACAATGTTGTGCGCATAAAAATCCTTCTTGCTGTAACAAACTTTTCCATTGAAATAATTTATATTTAAAAAATCATTAAATACTCACGCATATTATTATTTACCTTTTCATGAAATATCGTATCCATTTTATTAATATTTTTTTAATATAGTATGTAAAACATATAAATATCAAGTAACAAATCAAATCATGCGTTGAATAATCTAAAAAGATTCTAAGATCAAACGTCACCCACAAAAATATTTTTTGGTTATAACCAAAAATATGTCATATATAGTTGATGAAACTTTTAGATATAATGAATCAAGTATATAGTATTGCCATCTTCTAACAAATTGCTTAGTTATCATATGATTATTATGAAATATTTCTTATTTAAATTTTATTGTTCATGGTTGTTATTAAAAGTTATTTATTTTCTTTTATATATAGAAATAATATTTTTTTATATAACAATAATTTTATATAAAATATAAAAAAATAATTGGTTATAATGAATAAATTAAAAATATTGATAAAATCATTTTTAAATAAATATTAAACGATTAATTTAAGTATAGATAATATAGATAATATTTTCAATAAATTATTTCTGTACAGTATTTGTATTTGTTACATTATATAATTAATTAGATAACATACACTTTTCCGATTGGTTGTGCTGCAATTGATTATTAAAATGTATATGATGTTCTTTCACGAGAAACTTAAGCTAAGTATAAAATATTCTATGAATTTCATTAAAGAACAGTATAGAGATTTTAAGAAGACTTATCAAAAGCATCTGAAACTATAAAATAATTATTTAAAGACTTAGCGAATTTGAGCCTCGTCTGCTACCACGGCATAGAAAAGGAACTATTGAGTACTAATTATTAACGAAGGCAGAAGTACAAGATCGCGACTAAATCAGAGAAGAAAAATTTTAGTGCGAGTGTATTGCCGATGTAACAGGCAATTTAAGTAGAAGGTGGAAGTGCATTGATAAATACAATATTGACGACCTGTAGAACGACACCTGCTTTACTCGAAACGAGAGACGAGGACACGGTGACGGCGGGGGCGGCCATACTCAAACAACCGCCGACCGAAGTGCGCGGCATAGCGCAGAAATGAAACGATAATAAACTGTATTATATCGTTCGTAAACCCGGGGAAACGGTAACGGGTGTAAGTGCCTCCATTAAAACATATAGGAAAAAATTACAAAAGGAAGTAAAAACGGAAGTGTGGGAAGTGTGAAGAAAGAGGAAAGCGGCCCGACGAATCGAGGCGCACGGAACGGTATGAGTGCAAAGACAGACGTGAACAGGCGGGTCCTAGCGATTCAGGCCAAAAAAAAAAGGCACAAGCCAAGCAAACGAAAAGGAAAAGCAAATATTCAAGATGAATCAGAAACATCAGGAGCTCAATGTTCAAAGGCATCGACTACTCAACAAGGACAAGGATCGAGTTTCTATCAGGATGCTTCTGCACAAAGACCATATTCCAGTGATAATGGAAATAGGTATTCAAATATCATTGTCATTTTATTTTATTAATTTAGTATTCTTCTCGTTGACAGTTTCTCGTTTATGAATTTATATAATTTTTTCGATGTAATAAGTATTCGTATGGAATTTCTTATCGAATTTTTTTTATATTGCAAAATGATCAATTTTATTATGGAATATTTTAATGAAAAATAATATCTATATTTTTTAAAAATGTATTATTAATATCATTTTATTATGAAATAATAGAATTTATAAATTGTCTGTTTTGCTAATCCCATGAAAATTTTTGAAAACAGTTTATAGTCTTTTATTTTCTAATTCGTGTTTGCTCCCTACCTTTTCCTAACTAAAACTTACAGATTGGAACCATGTCATAGCTCAAGTAACGAAACAATGGAAGATGGTGATGAAGTATACAGTAGTGAAGATGAAGAACAAGAAGACAGCAGTGATTATTGCAAAGGAGGATATCATCCTGTTAAAATAGGAGATTTATTCTTAAATCGCTATCATGTAACTCGTAAGCTTGGTTGGGGTCATTTTTCAACAGTCTGGCTTTGTTGGGATTTACAGGTATATATTTGATTAAGAAGAAGATATGTATTTTTTAAAGTAAATTTATAAATATTATGTTTTAAAATATGTTCTGTAGGATAAACGATTTGTAGCACTTAAAGTGGTCAAATCTGCATCTCATTTTACTGAAACTGCATTGGATGAAATTAAATTATTAAAAGATGTACGTGATACAGATCCTAGTGATCCTAAGCGTAATAAAACCGTCCAGTTACTCAATGACTTCAAGATTAGTGGCATTAATGGTTTGCATGTTTGTATGGTATTTGAAGTTCTTGGACATAATCTTCTTAAATTGATTATCAAATCTAACTATAGAGGAATTCCAAGAAATAATGTTAAACGTATCATTAGACAAGTTCTTGAAGGTCTTGATTATCTACATAATAAATGTAAGATTTTTATACTGAAAAATATATTTGATTAATATTATTTTATTAGATAATATTAATTTTTGTTAATAAGTTTTAATTTTACATAAATTTGAAATAAATTTGAAATATTTAATATTATTATCACAAAAATTAATTATTAACAAAATATTTTTGTGTTTTTCTTTATAGGTAAAATTATTCATACAGATATTAAACCTGAAAATGTTCTTGTTTGTGTTGATGAAGCTTATATAAGAAAATTAGCTTGTGAAGCAACAGAATTACATTCACTTGGAATGAAATTGCCAGTATCTTTGATTTCAACTGCACCAAAGGAATTCCAAGAACCCACTCCTAATTCTAAAATGTCAAAAAATAAGAAAAAAAAACTTAAGAAGAAAGCAAAACGTCAAAATGAATTATTAAAGAAACAAATGGAACAAATAGAAGAACTTGAAGAACAAGATAAACTTGCAAATAGCACAAGAGCAAATGGAGAATTAGAAACAAATAGTCCAGATCAAGATATAAACACAGAAAGTATAGATGATAATACCGAAAGTAAAGGTTCACCTGACATTTCAGAACCATCTGCACCTTCATTGCATATAAATGGTGTAGATAGTTTAACGGTTGAAGAAAAAATAGAAAATCAAATACCTCAACAATCAGAAAAGATGGAAAATGCAAATTCATGCGATGTAGAAAAAAATTGTGGTGAAGCAATACATTCACCTGATCATGAAGATACAGATGAATGTAGTGAAGGTAATCTTTCAAAAAGTAATTTTGGTATATATAAATAATTATATTAATTTCATATTTACTTTTTTTTATAGGCCGCAATTTACATCCACCTGAAAGTAAACAATTAAAAAGAGCATGTGTAGCTCCTTTAGATCCTGCCCTAGTAGAATGTGATGTTGAAGTGAAAATAGCAGATCTTGGTAATGCATGTTGGGTCCATAAAAAATTTACAGATGATATTCAAACTCGTCAATATAGATCATTAGAAGTGTTATTAGGATCTGGATATGATACATCTGCAGATATATGGTCAACTGCCTGCATGGCATTTGAATTAGCAACTGGTGATTATCTTTTTGAGCCACATAGTGGTAATTATTATTGCAGGTAAAGTACCATTTTTTGTAATTATTCAAAAAAATTTGTTCATTTGTAATATGATATAAAATATATTTTGTTTTTTATTATAGAGATGAAGATCATTTAGCACACATTATTGAATTGCTTGGAGAAATACCAAGACACATTGCTCTTTCTGGCAAAAACTCAAAAATGTATTTCAATAAGAAAGGTGAATTGAAACGAATTACTGGATTAAAACCTTGGGGACTGTACGAGGTGCTTACAGAAAAATATGACTGGTCACCAAGAGAAGCGCGCGAGTTTGAAGAGTTCCTAACTCCGATGCTCGAGTTTGACCCGAGTACGCGAGCTACAGCAGCAGAGTGCCTGAAGCATCCATGGCTGCAAATTAAAAAGTGATCATGTTTTTTATCGTTTTATCTTTAAATTCTTCAACTCTATACTTCTACCATCCTGACGTAATTATAAGTCGAGAGTGTAACAAGAGATAATGATCAGCAATGGCCAGGTTCTTTCATCTTATATATATTGTTTTATTTTTGCATAATGAATGTATTATCACTAAAAACGCACAGTAAAAATTATTCAATATAAAATATTATATATATGTATAATATTATTTTATAATAATATTATAATATATTATAATATTTAATATTATAGGATGCAAAATTATTAAAAATGTATCTTATAAATTATAATTTAGAATTGTTTTTTATCTTTTTTATCTGTTAATAATTTTATGATTATCATTTATGTCTATTATTGTGATTAATTTTATACAGTAAATAGGAGTTATCTAATACCAAAACAATTGGAAAAGAAAGAACTTGCTACATTCCACCAAATTCCAATATTTGCAGTAGTTGAATATGCTTCTAATTGTAACACTCTCGACGATGGCTGCCTACTTGTGTATTTATAAATTTGTTAAAACATGTTTTTCATTTAGTGATGCTATCTTAAATTAAAATTTCGTAGTACTTTATTATTTTACATGGTCATCGTTATATTATCCTTTATATTACTACTTGTCACTTAATTTATCAAATATCCCAAGAGTCATGGGACCTACTCATAATGTACTTTAGGAAAGGGCAGGCCCATTGTTATGCTATAATGAATATTAAAATTTTCATTAAAATATTTTTTTGCATTAAATTGATTATTCGAAATTTATTGATAGCAGGTTTTTTCTCTGTGATCTCTCCTCGTGCTTAATTAGTATTCAAGAAAGTTTAATAATCATTACTATTACTGTTTTGATTAAATAATACTCATAACACATACGCCGGAACGTGTGTTTAAGCAACTGAATCTTTGTACAAATTCAATGAATGCAGAAATACATAAATATATAATATTAGTATAATTAAGAGTTGGTCGCCAGATTCTTGGTAAACAATTGATATGATTCGGAATAAGACAGTGCATACTTTATTCAATTACAATGAAAAAATTCTAGAATTTGAATTTGTAGTAAACTCATAATAATCA